CAGAGCTTTCCTCACCTTTCTTGGGTCGAGGGTAGGTGTCTCATGCTTGGGTGTGTCTTGCTACAGCCCCATGGGTGAAGCTATGCTCACCTGTTCCTTTGTAATATAACCCTTTGCCCTGTTTAGGATAGAATCTTCCATGGAAGCGCCTTGTGTGTGTCCCCTTCTCTTACTGTGTCCTTGGGTGTGGCCTGCCCAGATGTCAGTCAACCTGCTGACAGTGGACATCATGAAGATAGACTCAGCCCCTGAAACCTAACCCCTTGCCTCATTTGAATAGCTTCTCCTCAATAAAAGGGGTCAGCACGTGCTCTTGATCTCTCTCTTCCTGGGGACCCTTAAGGTCAGAGGAGCCAGCACAGCGACCCCAAAGTAAAAAGTATTTGTGTCTCCTGTGTGGTTATTTTACGCAGCCCAGTCAGCTCAGTTCAACTGGAGTAAACCCTGAGCCTTTTAGTCTCTGAGAACAGAAACCTGGTACTTCCTGAAGCCCTATAAACTGGAGCTGGACAATGATGATGAACCCTGAGATTGGGAGCCATCTCATCACAAAATCATGAAAAGTTAATTTCTGTTTTACTTAACCCTCTCTAAAACCTTAGTGGTGCCTCACAAATCCTGGCTCCCCCTGACCAGATAACAACCCTCTCTGAAACCTCATCGGTGCCTCATAAATCCTGATGTTGGGATCTGAATTTACTCCCTACCTTGAAATATCATGCCATCTAGATCACTAACCTGCTATCTGCCTTTGTATTCAAAATCCTATTAGCTGTAAGTTCTCAAGACACCCTCCTTTGCAACTTTTTGTGTTGTAAAACCTTGTTCCTGGAAAGCTGGGGGGCTGCTCTCTAGCCCTGATTGGAAAGATAGCCTGGCCAGCTTTCTTTGTGTACATAATACAAGCTTGCTTTAATTTGATTTAAAATTGGAGTCAGTGGTCTTTCTTTGCATGGTGGTTTAACACTGCATGTAAATTTCTGGAGACAAATCTCATGTCTGAAGTGTGGGTCATAGCAAGTTGATCCAACTGCCCAATGTCATAATCAAAAAGACAAACTGCACACCTGGCAAAGTTGATAGCCTCACTCTGGGCTGCTCTTTCCAAGCTGCTCTTATGTTATGCTCAAATTCGGGACCCCCAAAAGACCACCAGAGACCAAGATCGATGTAAACAGCAAATAGGTGTTTATTGAGAACTAGCTCGGTCCTCCGAGTGTTACCGCTGTTGACCGGTGACGAGTTCTTGCTCCCCGATGTTGAAGAATAACACCAAAGAAGCACGCCGAGGCAAGGTCAGAGTAGAAATTAGAAATTTATTAAAGGACAGAAGAAAAGACTTCTCCCGGAGGAAGAAGGGGACCCAGAAGGTGGAATCCGTGGAAGTGTGGTTGTTTCCCCTTTTTATAGTTCTTTCAGTGATGGAATGTAGGTTGGAGGGCCTGAGGGGTGGGACACAGGTGGGCCAAAGAAGTAGTCTGAGCAGGAAGGACTTTTGAGATGGGCTTATCACTTCTCTGGAATGGGCTATCTCCAAATCTGTTGGGGGCTGTTCATTAACACTTCTTCCAGGTGGACTTTGGCCTAGGGCCTTTTCAGGACTTCATTAACATTCCATGAGTTGTCCTGTGTTTTCCCTGAGTCATTTCCAGCATGGCCTCCATTTTAGATTTCACTGGGTATTAGACCCGATTTACCTAACTACACTGGCTACCTAACTTTAAATCTGGCTTCATTAGCACACACACAGCAACTGGTGAAGCTGAGAGGCCCCCGAGCCCAGGGTTTGCAGCAGTTTTATACATTCTTTGTGTAAGGGTCCGGCGGAGCGTCGGAGAAAGAGACCACACAAGAGACTGGCTCCATGCAATTGGCAAAAGGGGATTTATTGGGGATCCATTCCAGCGCACTGGGGCCCCGTGCTCACTCAAGAAGTGAGAGCAGCCCGGAGCCCTGAGCTGAGGTCAAGCAGAGCTTAAATACACTTTCTGGAGAGGGCGATGGGCTTTGCATACATCAGAACAAATCATCATGAGGCACGGGAAAATTGAACAACTCTGAGACGTGATTGGCACATTCATTGGCGGGAACAGGTTGGGCGGGGGTGATTGGTCATTCCTAAGCGGGTTAGACATTCAAACTGATTGGTTCGGGTCCTGTGACGAACTGCACAGGGCCCTAGGCTAAATGTTTTAACTATCTCAGGAATTTCAGGTTCTGGGTGTAACAGAGGAACTTAATAATACCTAATCTTTTACATTCAAGCTTTCCAGCTTAGAAACTTTACCCTTTCATTTGGAGAAGGCAGGGACCCCCACATACGTTATAGCATCTCTTAGCAAATCATCACACACCACGGGAAAATCAAATAACAACTCTAAAACATGATTAGCACATTCACTGGCAGGAACGGGTTGGGTAGGGGTGATTGGTTACTACAAAAGGGGTATTCATGGGCTGGGGATGTGGCTCAAGCAGTAGCGCGCTCGCCTAGTGTGCGTGGGGCCCGGGTTCGATTCTCAGCACCACATACAAACGAAGATGATGTGTCCACCGAGAACTAAGAAAAAATAAATAAATGTTAAAATTCTCTCTCTCTGTCCCCCTCTCTCTCTCACTCTCTTTAAAAAAAAAAATAAATAAAAAAAGGGGTATTCATTTGAACCTCTTGATTTAAGCCAAGAGGGGTGTTCAAGCTGAATTACATGGTTTCCCAACACCATAAACTACTGGGAGGGTCATCTGGCATCCCAGGTATTTCCCTGTCTCATGCTGATTGGTGGCTGCTAGTGGGTTGCTCTGGGTCCCCACCTAGCCTGACTTTCAAGGACACCTGGCGCAGCAGATCTCATTTGTAGATAAACAACTTAGCAGGTTGGGAATGTGCCTGAGTGCTCTGTGGGTCTTTCCAAGGACAAAGGTCATGTCCCTTTCCTTGGACAGGCTTTGCTCTGAGGTAGAGGCTGATTTTCACTTACAGCTTAATTTTTCCTTGATCCCACCTGCCTTTCTTATTAGAATTTCAAGAATCATATTGAAGCCAGAATTAGACAGGCAGGTCAGTATAGAGAGATAAATAAAGTCAGGTCAGATAGAGTCAGGCCAATTTTGAGTGAGTCCTGGGAAGTTGAAGGCTGCCCAGAGAGATAGAAATGTTAATTCCTTCAGAGCCCTTCCTCCACCCTTATCAAGAACCTGCCCCTGCTCCAACCTGTTCTAAGGTAACCTGTCCCAGGAAATGCCCCTCCCTACAGGGAGCTATAAGATTGTTAATTAATGTGTCTTGAGCTGCATTATCCTGCCCTTCCCCCTTCAGCCCACGTGTTTCCCACCTTTTGGTCATCCCACTGAGCATTCCTGGGCCTAGTCACCTAGGCAGGAAGGAGAAAGGTAAGGGGAAGAGGGCTGGAGAACAAAGGAAGCCTAGGACATATAAAAAGGGCCAAACGCCTGGGTTCTTCCAGCTATAGCCCCCTTCTCCTTCCTGGGATAGGTCTGTTGTACCCCTTTTAAATAAACCCTGCTTTATATGGTTGCCTGGGTATGCTTCTAAGAATCACACTTAAACATGTCATGCCTGACTTTTTTTTTTTTTTTAAAGAGAGAGAATTTTTAATATTTATTTTTAAGTTCTCGGCGGACACAACATCTTTGTTGGTATGTGGTGCTGAGGATGGAACCCGGCCGCACGCATGCCAGGCGAGCGCGCTACCGCTTGAGCCTTTTAATAATCCTTACAAAAAGTAACCTAATTTAATCTATTCGTTATTTTCTTTCTCCTTGCTCCCACTTTACAGAACCCACAATCCTGCTAATAGCAGAGGAGCTTTCCTTACATCCTGTAGAACTGTAACCGGGGTCAACTTCATTCTGAGGGTAAACCTTGCCCCTCCACCGCCAAGTGTCTTATTTTTTCTGTCCCAGGATAATCTATTTGCGTCCTTCATAGCCCAGAAGTATCACTGCCCACAAGAGTAAAAGAACTTAAGCCTGGGAACTGGAGCAACAGCTCTCTCAAGGACACCAAGGGGCACTAATCATAGCTACTGATAATATCTGGGGCCAAGCCCTGGTACTATTATTATTCTAAAAGTCCTCAGTCCTCCCACGCAGGGAGAATCACAGCCTCGAGACAAAAGTCCTGTTTCTCCTTTACAATAAAACTTCCCTATTTCGCAATCCCTCGTCCCGGTTATCAGTTCGGAAACGGTGACAAGGACCTAGTTTCCCTGTAAGAACAGAGGCTGCCCGGCTTACACGCCGCAAGCACGGGCCAGTCCCACCCGAGATCGTGCTGCCACGCGGTCCTCCCTCGACAGCGGGCTGCTCTCTTCCGCCCGCGACCCCTAACCGTTCGGAGTCCACGCTGCGTTCTGGAAGAACCAGCCCCTGCCCTCCACGGGCAGCAGGGGGACACTGCGTAGAAACCAACCAGTGCAGTGGGCCTCCGAAGCGCGAGGGCAGCCGGCGCGGGGATGTGACGTCACGGAGGAGGTTGGCGCGGGCGGCCGGAGGCCCGCG